TCTCCCTCCCCGCAGGCTGCTGCGAGCGGGGCTCCTCCGGGCATCGGAAGGGAGAGTGAAGAATTGCCCTTGCCCCGGGCGGAGCTGCCCCGTTCTCCTGGAGCCCGGGAAGGAAGGACTGCAAAGGGAACCTCTGGACGTTTCATGTTTCGTCAGCCCGGCAGAATTTTGGCTTTGATTCCGTCTTGCTCGTACCTGTTCCTGGAGAAGAGGCACCGTCCCGCCATGTCTCGCTACAGCCTCCACAACCTCCTGGACTGGATGTATGGGGGGGTGGACCCCAGCTTTGCCGGCAATGGAGGGCCTGAATGCGCTGCCTTTCTCTCGGGGAAGCAGCGCTTGCTGGAGAGTTTGGTCTTCCTCAGCGTAGGCATCGTGGAGATCCTCCTGTCCTTGGGGAAGCTCAGGCATCTGCACCTCAGGGAGCTGGAGAATCTGCTGCAGCAGCCCCAGACTAAGCAGGAGAGCTTGGGCAAGAACGTGCTCCTGGTGCTGCTCTGCCTCATCTTTGGACTGGAGGTGGGCTTCAAGTTTGCCACCAGGACTGTCATTTACCTCCTGAATCCCTGCCATGTGGTCACCATGATGCAGGTAAGGTCACCTGGAAGTTGGCTTTTGTGGTGTACTTGCAAGGCAGTATTTTTCCCGTAGTCTGTTTGTGGACCAAAAGTGCATAGCAAAAGTACAAATGCTAAGAATTGATATAAACATTTTAAACTCAGTTTTTAGTCAGCTTAAGTGAAACCTCTCAAGTAACCTGAGTCAGATGAAAAGGTGAAATTGTAGCTATGATTAATGTCCGAATCTCTGGTTGAAAATGTAAATAATTAAGGTTTTCTCAGCACTTGCTTTCACCTGATCCTTGTTTCAAGACTAGAAGAGGCTGTTTCCACTGACAGTAGTGCTCAAAGTTGCACCAAACCTAAAGAGAACAGGATAATTGCGAAAGCAGCTGTGTAATCTCTGTGCAACTTTTTCAAGCAAGTGACTTCTTTGGGTGTGAATGTATTTTGTGAAGGTGTTGGAGAAATAAATTATTCTTTGTTGGTTTACCTTTCTAATCTTAGCAGCTGAGCAGTAAGGAAGCAGGTGTTACCTGTGTCTCATACATGGAGTTGAACAAGGTGATATGGCCTAATACCCGTGGATAAACCATGTGTTTTAATGACTTGTTGCTGATGTGTAAAAATGTGCAACTTGTATAGATTTCAAAATAATGGATACATAGAAGGATACATAGATAAACAGTTACTGAACTGGGATATCTGAAGCCTAGAAGCTTGTTTGTTAATACTCCTGTAGATGTACTTAACTGTCAGTCCCACTGAGTTTGGTAAGAAGGGCGGGAGACAAAATTATTACTTTGTTTAATTTTGCTGATGTTGAATCCTCAGCTTAGAAGATTAGAAACAACTTAGAAGAGTGTCAGAAAGGCTTTCATAAAAGCTGGCGTGGTAACAACTGTCTAGGATCAGTAAAATTGGATCAGTGCCATTCTTGGTCTCCCACTGCAGGATGCAAAGTGATCTGGGCTGAATCAGATCAAGCCAGTTGTTAGATTCACACCTGGAGAGCATTTCCTAACAGGATGGGAAATATCTTTTCTGGTTGTACCAGAGGTTTGAGGGAGATGGGGATTATTTCAAGAGTGGTACAGCAGTATTCAAGACCTTTACAGCAATTAATTTACAGTTCCGGAACTTAATTAGTAGGTTATGTAAATTCCTAGGCCGTGATGCAATGCTTGCTCAGTAGTTTACAGCATAGGACACTTCCTTCCTGTGAAGGGGTAGTGATTGCTGTGCAATCAGTTAGTCAGCATTGGGACTGAAGTTTTGGAATGACTGTGTAGAACTAATTAAAATGAAATCATACAGCCACATTCCATTTCTAGTCAATACTCAGTGATAACTGGGAAGTTTTCCTAGTAATTCTCCAGAAAGGAGGTGGGGATATGTTAGCAGTAGGATTTGAAAGTTTAGTTGTCTTTATGATAGGATGTTATGATGTTCAGCAAAATGCTTAGAGAGCCATGGGGAAGCAAGGACTGTTCACTTCTTTCAATAATGCCTTCCCCAAGGAGATGGAGACTTGAGCCCTGTAGTCAGGCATGGGCTGTTCTGAATCTCTTTTTGACCAATTGTGAAGCTTTTAAAAATAATCCTGTGCTAATTCCTCATTAGAAATGGTGTTCCAGCATTTGTGAAATTGAGAAGGTGAGTATGTCAGCAAAATGCAGAAGTTGGGCCCTTCATTTAGAAACAGGCTTGGGCTTAATGTAGAGGATGAAAATAATGGCAAAACCAACAGCTTTCCACAGAGACACCAGGTTAGACATAGGGATAGTCAATGACTTCCAGCAGCAGACAAGTAATAGATAGGTGTAATCTTGCAAACATTGATTTTTGGCCTAAATATCTGAAGGGCAACAGGTTGGCAAGGTGAAATATATGAAAATATAATTTATCTTTCACTTCTGTTCTTGCAGTAGTTTATACATAACCCTGCTACCATGTCTAAATAATAGAATGAACAAAGTAGGAGGTGAAGAGATGAAAGGTACTACAACAATCAGGATCACTTCAAAGAGAAGCCAACTGTAGCTGTTGTTAAAGGGCTCTTCTTTCACTCCATTTCTCTTTTCATTTTCTTCACCTCAGCAACAAAGGCTCTGGGCTCTGAGCCAAAAATATTCGGAACTAGAAGTTATCCTTCGGATTTTCTCTGCATAAAAGCTAAAGTTCTGCTCTTAAAAGACCTAAGACTGAAATGAGATCAAAATAATATGGGATTTAGATGTGTGGTGCATTTGGGAAGACAAAACTGAGTAATATTAGGGCTACTGGGTTCTACAAATGAGTCTGTTTTGATCAGGTGTCTAATTTCTGCCTATCATGCCAACTTCTGTTCAAATCAAGTCTTTTCATAAGTGGAAAGAATTAGCTTAGATGTGTTGTTGTAAGGAGGAAGTGTCAGTGAAGTAAACATATTTAAGTGCCTGAACAGTTATTGTGGTTAATCAGCTTCAGAGAATTTGTTGCTGCCCTGTCACCTGGCTGAATTATCTACTAACAGTGATAATCATTTCCAGCCCTGCTCTGGGGTTTGGCTTCTTGCATAGCTTCTGGAGGAAGAAGGGTGTTTCTTCACCAGTGTCATAAGTGCAGCACCATTGAGAGATAAATATTTCAACTCTTAAAAACACTATATGTATTTTAAAACAAAGATGAATGGAAACTTATTTGGTTTCTCTGCCAGCTGTTGGATGGGGATGGGCTTGGTTTGTGCAGTACAATGCTTAGCTAATGTTTGGTGCATCAAGGGGAGATGTCTATGAAGGAATTCATACTGAACTCTTTCTTCATGTAAAGAATGGTCTTTGTGAAAATTATTTGAATACTTCTGTTTAAAAAAAAAAAAAACAAACCACAAACCACTTGCCTTTTAGGACTGGGGATATAACTGGAGCAAGTGCTGCTGCTGTAAATCTGGCATAAAAGGGTATCCTAAGAGGGAAACATTAAATCCTTAGGGTGTTGCAAACCTATTGGCCTTTGCATAGCAGGAAAAAATTCAGCATATGTGTAAGGAACCAGGTTTATGTTTTGAAGACACTAATCCTTTCCAGTATTTTAGGACACAGAACTGTGGTACTGAAATTGTCTGTGTGAAGGAAGTCTTAAATTTCTGATTCAGCAGTGGAAGAGGGAGGGTTCCCTCAAGAGCCAATCACAGCACTATTGATTTCTTTGCAAGTTTTGTGAAGGAGACTTTTGGCAGCAGCCAGAATGTGCTTGTTGAGAAGTGTCTGCATAAGTGTTGTCTCCCTGTGTATGAGCATCAGAACACCTACAGAATTGCTTCTGTGAGGTGAAAGGGTTTCATGCCTTGCAGTGTCAAAACCAATGATATCAAACCAATTTTCTTTATCTGTTCTGTATTCTTTAGGCTATAAATTTTTCTAACTCTTCAACCACAACCCTTGTGTTCATGTAGCAGTTCTTCATTTCACATTTAGGGAAGGAGCACTGAAAGCACTGGTGTTTCTCAGTTGCAAACCTCATTTCTTGCAAAAGAGGGCATTTTACCCCCAGGAAGGTGAGGGCAGCCTCAGGGGCACAGATAGGAAGTGGCAGATCAGGAGACACTTCTTCACTTCCTTTATGCTGGGTCTGTGATGCTCCAGATTATGAGTGTGGCTTTCAGAACACCAGGGCGTGCTCGGGTGGTTTGATCTGCCCCTGGTTCTGAGAACTGTCAGCCTTTTCTTAATTGTTACAATTTGGTTTTAAGCAATGATTTTGTTGTGTTTCAAAAACACTGTCAACTGAAGTTTAGAGGCTTTTACTGATACTGTAATTAATGTAGTAATTACTTGGTAAGCTGAGGAAAAGCTTTTCTGTGATAGTTTTAACATAGTATATACTTCGTTTCACCACTGTGTTTATTTTTAGTAAATCCCAGCATATAGTAGAGAAATGGAGAAGTAATGGCAAGGATTCCTATTCAGAAATAATAGACATTTTTAATTTAGTATAGAAAGGATAGCAAATGTGTCTTAAGGCTGTGATTCACGGTTTTCTTTGTTTCAGAAGATTATGGTTCAGCCATTTTAATTTAAACAAGATTTGGCCTGTGATGCTTTATCCTGAGCTGAAAATGTGCCCTTTAGTCCAGGTGACAGGGACCACGGGAATGTGTCATGGTGCTGGTCAATGTTTGAGCTGAGGAATTGGAGTTTAAAGCTCTTGGTTAAGCCTTTGCTTTGAAGTTGCTAGAATTTGGAAATGCCTCTGTGCTTGAGGCTAGGTAATTCTCTCCTTTATTCTGGGTACTTTTAGGAGAAAAGAATATAACAAGCAGGGAACTGACACAGGGTAATCTTCCTCTCTAAACTCGAGTAGGAACTGAATGGTTGGAAATGGTAGATGAAAAAGCTTAACTTTCTCTGACCCCAAATATTTACACTGTGGGTTATCATCTAAAGACCACTAGATGAATGATTAAGTAACCAGATATTGGTTTGTTTTGATGAGATCATCACAGATTTAAAGCAAATATAATTCAAAGGGCCACATGTGTAGTTTGAGCAACATATTAGAGAGGGAAAGGCCTCTTTTCTTTTTTCCTCTTCTGTTTAGTTTCTTTTTTTATTGAGAACAGAGCTATTTATATTGTTTCAGTGTGTTATAATGTATCACTGTTGGCTGCAATATATTTTTAGGAAGGATTTTTTTTATCCTATTTGGCAGTTTCACCCACCATTTCATGTAGGTTGTTTGCTGGTGACTTAAACTGATGTTTCAGGAGTCGCTGCCTGAGGCCTTTAGGAACCTCAGTGGGGTGGTGGACTAAAACAGCAGCAGTGACCATACTGGACACCTTATAAATTCCAAGGATTGGGATGTCTTTCACCTTCCAGTCTAAGAAACCCTTCTGTGCTGTCTCCTTGCCCTGCTGTAAATGTTTGCACTGCCAGTCACAGATGATGAGTTTTACTGCAGGGGTTGTCCATTCCCTGCAGCAATTTGAACCTTGATGTTCCCCACGTGTCCTGAGCCATGAATTCAAAGCCTGCAAAGGGTGTAATGGCACTCATGTTTCTGGTGACACTTCCTCGGGGCTTTAGATTGATGTGGTGAGGGTTTATGTTTATTCAGATGGCCAAGTAATTAGAGTCAAGCCAATTTAATTGTTTGTACTGTGATACTTTGTTGGTTAGTGAAATGCCAACTTAAATTATCAGGAATGTGGTGTTGTATGCCTTAGTTTTTTATGGATTGTGTTGCTGTTTCTGTTTCTTTGGCAAAAATCAGCTGTAGTAAGGCTATTAGCTATTTATTATCCTGCTGGTTTTAAAGATCACAAATTTCTGTTGTAAAATCCAACAAATTGAGGGATTTTGAACTGCGACAGGAAAAAAGGTATTGGTGACTTGAGGCTGAGTAGAGCAGGACTTTGCTGTGATGATTTTGCTTCTGTAGGAAACTGATGCAAAACATCTTGTTTGGGAGGAAGACGTAACAAAAGTGAGTGTATGTGAAAGTGCATGTAAAAATTTTATTGTGAACTCATGCAAGCTCCCGCAGTGTCACTGACAGATTTAAATGTAATTTAATTTATTTCACACTGAATTTAGATTTTCTTAAGAAATTGGACTTTTGCTTTTTTGATTGTCAGGTTTTGTTAAAGCACTGATTTTAGAATGGGGAATGAAGTAACACACTACTAGTGAAGGACTGGTGCATAAAGTGGTGAGGGGAAAAAGGAAAAGTAACTTCAGTGACCTCTGAAATACTAAGATGTGATAACTAAAGCTAATGCACGCATAGAAAGACCTGAGTCATGTTAATTATTAATCCTAAAATATGAGAAATCTAGAAATCTTTTACCTGAGACTCTAAAAGGAAAGAGGGTGAGTATAGGTTTATCAATTAAAAAACTAAACCTGTGGAAGGGGAGATTAATCTAGAATATCTGTCCTAATGAACATATATAATTTACAATACATTAGATTATAGAGGATGGAAACTGTTCAACTTGCTACACCTCATCCATCCCTGGGTAGAACTGGGAAGCTGGGAGGTGGAAAGCAGGGACAGGCAGCTTCTTGTGCTCCCTGAGTCTGGTTTATGTAACACAGAAGCTACTTTTATTGAAGTATTTCTTAATGCTCTGCCAGCAGTGTTGCTTTGAATCATGAGTATCCTTCATGTTAGGTTAGCAATTCCACAGGACACATTAATCCCTAAAGCTGTGTGACACTGAGGCAGCTGTGGTTTTTATACTAAAATATTAAATACATTCTACTTGCTGCTATTTAGCAACTGGAATGTCACATCTTTTTCAGATGTGGCAGTCTGAGCTTGTCAAACCACAGGTATGATTTTTATTTCAGTTACCTTTCAGAAAGCAAATGATGGCTTATAAGTGGTAGGGCTGAATTGATAGTTTATACAGAAAGAAATGCCAAGTCAAAGCTGTAAGTGGAGCTGTTAAACTCTTACTTCCTGATAAATGATAGAATGATTGTTTTGAACTTACTTTAAAATTAAGTTTCGAGTTAATTAACCAAGACTATTACATCTCTTAAATTGTCCCTCTGCTTAGATGTTCCTTTCTTGTGTGGGAAAATGGATGGTTTTTATAAGTACAGTAAAGTACACTTAACCCTACCACTCTTGGGTAAGTATACTTTATTGTATCTTAGCCTTTTAAACATAACTTTTAAACATACCTTTTAATCTCTTCTGCTCTGGAGAGTACTTGGATACACCTAAGAGGGTGAAAAGTTTTATTTCAGTGCAGATTGACCAAAGCCTGTCTCTCTCTTGCATTTTTCCTTTTGTTTTAAATTCATTCCAATTTTGGAATAATCTGGTTTCCCCGAATTTTTCACATTACTCTGAATATTGCCAGTAGAAATTAAAGTATAACCTCTTGAAACTTTCATTCTGAAATAGTACACTAAACCAATCAATTTATGATCTGGTTAAGTGATCAGGACTGCAGTGTTTGAAAAGAAAGATGTGTTTCCAGTCTGCTGCAAGGAGATACTAAATCAAACAGGCGGCTCAGGGACAGACAAGCTGCGGTTTTGAAAGGTAAATGAAATCCGTGCTGTGTGTGTGAGATGCAGGGGTTTTACTCGTCCTGTGCTTGGCTGTCTTCTGCCAGGAGCTACTCAGACATCTGTAAGTGTTCCCATTGATCCCAGGAGTGCTACTTCGTGTGATGCTGAATCTGGAATGGTTAGAATTGTGTGACTCGTTCTGTTCTTCCCCCCTACCTTTTGAATTGTCTTTTGTCTCTTTAGTTTGTTGATCAAACAAGATGATCTTTGTTATGCATGTTTCTGTCTCAGCAGGGCTAAGGCTGGTGGAAGAAAAGCTTTTCATGACAAGTTTTGACTTCGCTCTCTGCCGCAGTGTACTGACTGAAAATTAGTGCCATTAAAATACTTTTGAGAGGAGCTCTTATGTGTAGTATTTTGTAGAGATTTGGAACGTTCTGGAATAAAAGAAAAGCGGAAATCCAGCCAACTCATAGGACCAAACAAACAAAATCAGTGAGCTCTCCCTATTTAGCTCATGGAGTGAGGCAATAACATTCAATTAATAGGTATTTGAAGAGGTGTTTTTCTTCAGTTCAGAGGCAGTATTGCTGTTCCATTTTGAACAAAAGATTGTACATATCTTTTGAGAATAGCTCTTGAGATTTTTACTAGTCTTCATTTTTGAAATGTTGATTACTAAAACTGGTGGTGAAACGTGGCATTCTAACACGTCAAAGAAACTAGGAAATGTTAGACAAAGGAGAAAATTTGCAGCTGACAGCTGAAGCATTTGAAGATCTGTTCCATAATCCTGAGTTTTAACATAAACATTCTGGTTATGATTTTTCTGCTGTCGTAAAAAATGGAAGTCAGGCTTATTTTGTGAAAGATCCCCCCTAACAGAGGGATTTGCATGCTTAAAAGTGTTAAATATTTATTTTTCCCTCATCAGTTCCTAAAAATGTTTCTTTCAGTAGAGTTGAAGTAAAAATAAGCAGCTGTGAATCTTGTTCTCTCCTTTGCCTGTCTCCATGGTAGTGAAGTGTTTTAAATTGGTATGTCCATCTGAGTCTTTGTAGCAGTGCCATCCTTTTTAAATGTGAGCTGGTTTTTACCCTCAGCACTGAGATGCAGTGTACAGACATGTATTGTAGCTTTTGCTCTACCATGGAGTAGTTGGAACACTCTGCAGTGCATTAGAAAAAGAAATGTCTGGTGTGATTAAGACACATTTCTGGTTTGATTAATTTGTGCATATAAAGAAAAAACTCAATCTGTAGTTTTCTAGGTTTTTTTTTTTTTTTAAGATGTAGGAAAGAGAAAGAAAAAATTTATCTTGGAAGAGCAGAATTTGTTTCGTGGCAGTATGAACTGTGCTTCAAAAGCAACATATATCTTTTGTCAGTATATAAAAGGATGATGCTTGTCCTCTAAATTTAGATGGGGCATTTTAGCAAATCAACAAAACTTTATTACATAAAAATTTAGATCAGGTCCTGTTTATGGTAGGAGTATGGCCTGAAAAGAAAAACAATGCTACTCCCATTGTATTCAGTTACTTTTGGTGGCTAATAATTGGTGACATTTTTACAGTAGTTTCCAAATACTCTGAGTGTGACAATGGAAGCATTTAAAGGTGACTGCTAAGCTTACACATAGAGCAGATACTGTGGTAGCCTTATTTTGGGAAGTATTAGGAGGCTTTTAGAGACAGGCATCTTGTGTGGGACCCTCAAGAGCTGGATCTGGCACTGCTGAAGGGAAGGGCAGTGGTGGTGCTGTAAATGCTGGTCTTTAGCACAGCAAGGACCTTATCATGATTGAGGGTTAAGGGACCTGCTGTAGAAAATGATTGCTAATACAGTAATCTGCTTTTTGAGAGACCTTTTATAATGCCAATAACAACAGGCTAGAATTTGGCTTGTTTGTTTGGCACTGAACTCTTGGTGCTGCTCATACTGCTTAAATCCTTTTTATGTGGGTAAAGTGAGACCTTTTAATTTTTTCAAGATTTTTAGTCTTTTCTAGCTCTGCTGTAAAACAGTTCTTCTGGTTAGCAATGATTTGTGACATGCAGAACTGGGTAGGAAAGATTTAGAAAATGGAGTCTAAAAGAGGTCATGTCATTAATGTAAATTTGTTTCTGATGTTTCAGATTTTTCTTCTCGCCTGTCCCCCATGTCGGACTGCAATGATTCTCTTCAGGTAATACCTCTTCCTTGCTACACTTCTGTCTACTTTCATAATGTATTTTAGAAGTTAGTATTTTATGACTTAAGCAGTGATTAAGTTTTATATGGAGTTGGAAATGCATATTGGTTGGATTGAAAAATGATACATTGAAGGGAATCAGAGCTTAAAGGGTGAGTGTTGGGTCACATACCCTTGGTGCTTCTCTATGGTGGGTTTGGCCTCCCTTTTGAACATGAATTAGCTCAGTAACAGAGGAGTTAATGCAGATTAATTTGTGTCATGGGCCTTGCACCTTTTTATTATCCTCAGTAAAAATTAGTAACTGGGCCTCATTGAAGGCCATGCATACAGTATGGGTCTAATTTTAAAATTGTGGATAGGTAAGGTTAAATAGTTAATGCAAATTCTTGCTGACCTGGGTATTTCTCAAATCCATGCAATCTTTCCTAAAATACTGCATGTTACTTTAGGAACCACAAGAGTTTCTAATGTGCAGGAGGCTCTAATGGGCAGCAGAGTCCAGTGAGCAGCTAAAGGACTGAATTAGTTGTGTTGTGGGGAAGGTCAGGGGACTTCCTAGGCAGAATGGTGGTCAGAAATGGCTGTAATTGCCACCCCAACATTAAATTCAGCTCTTTCTTGTCTAATTCTGGACATTTCTTGGAAAAATGATGCTGGGGGAATGCCTCCTACCTTCTCTCTGCAACTTTTCCCCATTGTTCCTTATTTTTTGTGCTGGGATTACAGAGATCCTGTGTCAGCTTCTCCATCTTGAAGAGTGTGAAGAGCATGTCTGGTGTCCAGGAAATCTTTGCTAAAGGTTATAGGGCAGAGGCCACAATATTTGTTGGTTTGTTGTTTTTTTTGTTTTTTTTTTTTCAGATTGAGTATTTCTATTTTGACACCCTGACAGCATATAAATTATGTGTGAAAGACTGTTTTAAAGTTGTAATACCTTGTCCCCCTCGTCCCCCCCATCAAATTTCTTTTAAATTCCTAACAGTTTATGACAGGCAGTGGTTCAGTGGTTGGTGGCAGTTTATGCTTTACTTAGTATCCAAACTGTTTCAGTCTCCTTTATATAAGATACAATTTTTCTGTTCCTGTGATGCAACAGTGGTTCAGAAAAAGATGGTTGAAAACTGCATAAAATACAGTATTATGACACTACTGTCCTGCCTCATGCTTTGTTTAGGACTTGCTGTTGCATTTTGATAAATGTAGTTCTTTTATTTAAGGGACTTCTTTCAGATTCCTGAAGCTTTTCTTTGAAGCTATACATTCGTAGGGTTAAGCAGGATAAAAACTGTTATCAAATATGCTATTTTAAGCTCTGGAAGACAAGTGAACAGCAGAATTCCAGCTACCTAGCAGCTTGCATCATGAACAGGATTATGGACAGTCCAGGCTTTCTAGGAATCCAAAGCTTATTATAGAAAGCAGTCCTACTTTAGGAAATTCCACAAATGTGTATTTAAATATATGTTTTTATCCTGGTTATTGCATTTACCAGTATCTCATTAATTGCATTTAACAGTGACTTTATTCAAATTCAAGCCAAAAGAATTTTAAGTGTCTTGCTACCTTTTATTGAAGAGATACTACGTAAAATAAGTGAAAGCACTGCATTGGATTTCCATCTGTGAAAAGATTATCCCATCTTTTTCCTAAGGTTGCAGATGCACATGCTGAATGGGGCCCTGTTGGCATTGCTGTTTCCTGTTGTTAATACACGCCTGGTGAGTGTACTGTAGTTTTCTTCCTCCTTTTTAATTTGTTTCTAAAACATTTTCTTTGGAAAGATGTCAGAGCTTTGCTTTGTTTGGCCTTTTAAAGTTTATTTTACCAGGCTGTAGATTCCCAGTACAGGTCATTACAGTGGAGCCAAAATACCACTGTATTTTTGGGGTGTCTGTGACTCGGTGTGAAAAACCAACACTGCTGCATTCCAAGCATCAGCTCCATCCTGGCCTTAAAGGAGAGGAAACTTTAATGGCTTTGAAAGAGGCTTTCACAGGTTAACCTGGTGGCATGTGGTCAAAATTCAGTTCCAGGCTTTTCAGACTCTGTGTAAATGTAAGATTCCTCTGGCCTGGAAAATGCCAAATGTTGTTCTTGGCTGTCGACCCCTCTCTCCCAAGATTAGGCACAGCAGGTTTCTTTTTTCCCATCTAAGTTTTCAAATCTGCTATAAAACTCCAGTCTCCTGGACAAAAAGTTAACCTATTGTTGTGCCTAGTAAGATTCTTAAACCTATTGGCCATATGGCACATGAATTAATATTATTAACAAAATTGTTGTGGACTTCAGACTCCATTGCAAATCTTGTTATTGGCTCTCCCTTTGCAGATATTAACTGTCTAAATAAGATTAGGTATAAACTTATGCTTATGTGCAGTTTGCAATTGTTTTATTAAAACTTGATACTGCTGAAGGGCATCAAATGAATAAAACAAGTGGGATTTTTTCCCGATAAGGATAAATCTTTTTATTTTGTATTTAAAGCCATCTAGTTTTCAAGTAAATATAACCTTAAGCATGACAAAATTATTTTCCTGGGTAACCTTTGAAGGATAAAATGTTGCAGTATTTAATAACTCATTAGCTTTTGTTTTCTCTGCCACGATCATAGATGTCACTCGTATTAGGGCAGTGGTGATTAAACAAGAAAGATGCAGACTATTCACAAAATTGTCTCCATAATTAGGATTGGAGGAGCCAAAGGACAATGTCCAAGAGCAAATATTTTTGGAGTAAATACAACTTAGGATATTTTTGGCCTAACAGCTTTTCTCTTTTCAATGTTTCTTCTGGCACAAGATAATGTGGGTGATGTTGTAGAGTGCTGCTGCTTTGACCCAGATTCTCTCGTGGCAGACAGACATTCAGCTCCACAACTACCACTGTAGTTGTTTATGCTGACGTTGTCCTGAAAGCAGGAAATGTCTCCTAAAACTTAGTAGGAATTTCAAAAGAATCTCAATAATTTTGTCTGAGCTGTCTACTCTGGTTTATAGTGTCTAAGTGAAAAACTTTTGGTTGTCGAGAACTGTCGTGTCTCTATGCAGCAACTTCAAATTTCAGTTTTATGATATTTTATGTCATATTTTTGTGTGTTTCATACAAAAATGTTATATACTTAGATATTTCTGTAAATAGTTGTAATATATAGTGTGTGGCACAAAGAGCATGAAAAATTGGTCACCTAACCCAGTGTGGGGAGGCAGATGGTCTGGGGCAGAGAGAGTTCTGAGGTCAGTGGAGCTGGAGAGCAGGAGACTGGTGCCTCCCATCACTTTGAGGGATTGTGCCAAACAGATGCATGGCCCTGAGTGCCAAAAGGCCTCCCTGGTGCCTTTCAGAGTGTAAAATGTGTTTTGTCTTTGTGAATTATTTGATATACAGTTGGATGTTGTCTTGTGGTAGGTTTTTCGTTGTCCTCGGCTGACATTGTCCTGAAGCTCCCTCTTCCATGGGATTGTTTGGAATCTTGCAGGCAGCAGATAATGGTGCTGATCTGTAGTCTCTGTTTGGAGACACCTGCTAATTTGGCAAGTTCAGCAGGAGGCATGTGCATAATAGCTGGCAGGTTGTGTATCATTAGGGAGATGAACGCAGTGAGATGCAGGAAAAGATATTAGATGTGCAGTTTTATTTGTGCTTACCAATAATCTGAAAGGGGCAAAAGGCAGGAGATAGAGAATGGAAGAGGATCATTGCTTCACCAGCTGATGGATGATTCAGTGGATATCAGGGTTTTGCTTCCAAGTGTTAACCTGTTCAATGTAATTTCCAGAACACCTCTTACAACATTTTGTGGCACAATCTGTTGGGTCACATGTTTTTGCTACCAGTTACATTACTGAATGCATTGTAAGTATTCTTTTTGTATAACTACTTCAACATTAAATTATACTGAAAAATAAATTGGTTGAAGCTTCTGGCATAATTTCATGGTTTCCATTTTCTTGTCATGCATCTGTTAATTTTTTTTTTAGAACCTCAGTAATTTCAAAATTATTCTTAGATAGTGGTCTCTTGGCAGTGGAAATGGAGAGTTGAGATATTCACTGCACCTACAGAAGAAAGTTTCTACCTTTTGTTGTTTTAATCTTTCAGTTAAACTGTGCTTGTCAAAAATCTTGTTGGACTATAATGGGCACCTGGGATAGTGTTCCAAACAAATGTAGCCTGAAAGATGAGGTCAGTCTATTCTGTTCTTTCCAAGAAAATATTTTCCTGCCTTGGCATGATGTTGAGGTGTCAACAATTAACAGATGCAACCGATGCACCCACTTGTATTTATTTGGCACCTAAATACTCCAGTTATTTGCTACATTATTTATGATGTGCTGATGGAATTAAATTTTGTGCATTGGAATAGACACTGGATAGAGATAAAATTGTTTCTTATGCAGTCAGCTTGTTCAGTTCTTATTCAGAATTTGCAATATTATTTTGTGAGTTCTTTTCCTTTCAGAAATTAAGGGTATTTTAATTTTACCTCATAATTTCATCCCTTTCTCATGATGTGATTAATTCTTGGTCAGCATTAATTATTCACTCTAATCATAGGGTAATCTTTTGTGACTCTTAAGTAGAGAAGAAGATGCTAAGGGGATTGGCTTGTTAGGTTCCCAAGTAGGACCCTAGAAAGGTATAAGAGGATATACAGGAGTAGAAAGATTTCTTTTTACTCTGTGTTTATGTTACATGGAACACAGTGTAGGTCCTGATAACCAGGCTATGTGGGTAAATTCATTTAACTGGCACAAAGACTCCAAGTGTTTGGAGAGTAGCTGGATTTGTTTGAGCTTTCATATTGCATTAATCAAATTTTAAAGGAAACTCTTTCTACTGGTTTGAAAGTGGGTTGGCTTTTTTTTTTTTTTTTGCAAGCTGATGTCCTGAAAATGTTGATATAGATAAAGTAAAAAACAGGACATGTCCCAAAGGTGTTGGACTTGTTGTCTCTGCTCACATGGCTGAAATGGTGCAGTTTTAATGTTTCCAGAAGCTGCTATTTTCTATTATTAGAACTGTTTGGCCAGAGAGGTACACATTCAAAATCTGTGTTAGGAGCAGAATCATACTCTGAGCAGGACTTTGAGTACATTCCATGCACACTCCAACCATTGCCTGCTGATTCTTGAAGTAATAATTCAGTTTTCCTGAAGTGCCTGTGCCTGCACAGCAAAGTGAAACAGGTCATGGTAGCTCATGAAGTCATCTCTAAACTGGCTTTATCTAACTGGCACAAGGAAGAACAACGGGAACAGTTGGGGGCTACTGAGAGATTGTGCTTGGGTTGCTGGTAGGTGATAAAGCCAAGGCTGGTGCATCTCTGGGCAGTTGTGCGTGCTGTGTGCATTAAACTGGTATGAGTGTGTTAGTGATGGTAATGTCTAAGAGGGTGGCTGGTACAGTGCAACATTTGATGTTTGCTGGGCTGTGTGCTGGATGTGCTACAGGAAAGACCAGAACCTGGGAGTTGAATTCTTTCTATTCCTTTTCTGCCATATTCTGCAGTGATTGTACAGAGTGATGGAGGAAGTGCTCTTGCACAGTATGGTGCTTGAGCCAAGATACAAATATTTAACAGAGGGAAGAGTACTACTTTCAGAAAACAGCAAAGTTTTAACCTGCTTGCCCACTGAAAACCAGCTGCTGGGTGATCCCCTGTGCTTATCTTCACTTACAGTTTCTCTTTGCATGTAGAAGGTGCCTCTCTGCTATCTGTGAGTGAATCTTTTATTGATAAAACAGTTTATAGACAAGGCATTTAGGTCCAGGTGAGCCAGTTGCTCAGTACAACTTTATAGTTCCTCTGGTGTGTTTTTTTCATTTTCTGTTTGTTGTAGCCTGGCTGTGCAACTTGAGTGCTTGGTTGTACAGAAACTCTGCAGCTCTACAGCAGGAAATGCACTTGCATGATCAGCCAGGCTTCAGAACAATCCATCTCTTACAGTGGGGGGAAAAAGATGTTTTGTTTTACACACAAAAAAAATATTGTCAACTCTTCTGCAGCATAAACAACTGTTCCTCTGTTCTGAGGAGTGTCCTGAGCACAGTGTTTGTGTAAGGGACCCTCACAACTCCGAGTGTGGAAGCCCTTTTGAAACCAGAGATAACCAGAGAATGCTCCTTGGCAGGAGTGCCTGCCTCACGTTATGGTGTTTATATTCAGGAGCAATTGTTTCTGAAGTGGGAGAGGTGCAGCTTTTTCTCCAATTAGGAAAACTACTTTAGCCCCTTCCCAAATTTTAATTCCCTCACTTTGCTCTCTGTGCCCTTTGACAAGGGACAGCAGGAAAGGTTCAAGTTCAGGAAACGTCACAACTTCCATGAAGTTCTTCTTTTTGCATACCATTACCTTGCTTGGGTTTATGTTCTGATACAGAATATTTGGAATAAAATAACCCAATAGATTGTATGGAAAGGTTTGTTAGCCTAGTCTCCCTGGAGCTGGCTGAACACCTTGGAGGTTGCCATCAGGGCACAGACATTCAGCTGGGGGATGCCAGGACTGGCAGAATCTGGCTGTTGGTTTTAGCATCTTTTACATTAAAAATAGGATATAAGAATTGTAGTTGAATTTAGAAGATCACTATGTTAATTACCAGCTGTTCATTGACTGCTATTTAGGAAGAAAACCAAACTATATTTCAACCTCTCTTCTGTTAATGTAGAAATTTCTGTAATGTATCTGTTTCAATGCTTCAGTGTCTCAGAACAGCAATAGAAAGGGAAAACTTTTCTCCCCCTCTCTCCTTCCAACAGACAAGCCACAGTCTGGTTTGATTACGGGAAGGGTTTGCATTGTTATTGGTAATTTATGCAAGCAAAGAAAGGAAAAAGAACAATCTTATGCTATTCCTTCGGTGTTGTGCTTCTGGCTCACTTTGGGAATTGTCTACTGGAAGTGCTGCCTTCCATTTGTGGTAAGGGGAGTGGAATGGGTACAGTTTCAGGGTACTTTCAAGGCACTGACCATTAATGTCAGCTCTTTGTCAATATGCATAGGTGATAAAATAACTGAGCTCAATGCATTGTCATAGGTCCTAAGGAGAATGATTCCTTGTAACTTGGTTATTAGTGACGAAAAATATTTACAAATATTTTCCTTTTTCCACAGCTCCCATTTGAAATGGAAATTTATTATATCCAGCATGTGATGCTTTACGTTGTGCCCATCTATCTGCTGCAGAAAGGAGGTATGTTAACAATTTACTCCATATGGACTGAATTGGTCCCATGCAGTGAAGAAAATGTGCTTACTGGATACCACCAATTTCATTCTTACCCTTTTTTAAACCAGTTTTCCCTGTTGTTACTTAATAGTTTCTAATGTTCTAATGTTGGAGTTGTTATCCAGGTAACACCAACTTGTGTCAGGCAGTGAAATGGAAATCAAAAAAAATGGGTCTATTACCCAAAGGGGTACCAAGGGTGTATTGGTATAATGTGCACTGTCTTTATGAGTAGCATCTCTGCCACTTTGTAACACTCTCAAGTTGGTGGGGGGATGTATTTTTAAGACCTTTGCCTTCTCAGTGCTGGAACTTAAAATGAGCTGAAAAAAAAAAATCATGATTACATCCCAGTAAATATTAGTTGTCTAGTCAGGCAGGTTACAGAAATTCTGAAGCTCTAATGAAATGCAGTGACACATATTAGTGACATGAACTAACTTGCTTGTTATCTCTTCTAACAAGATTTCCATCTTGCATTCACTTATGCCATAATAGTTTGGTAAGTCTGGGAATCCCAAATTGTTCCCCTGGCCAGTGATTTTTCCTCAGAAGGGAATGCAGTGTGTATTCAGCTGGTGTGATGCTCTGCTCCCCTCTAGCGTTCACATGCCTCTGGCTGCATTTTCTAGCAGAGCTAAATTGTTTTATTTAGGCAATAAAAGATAACTCAGGGTCCAGGGGTTCAGTCGCCTTTAATGAAAACCCTGATTATGTGATGTGAACCAATGGGATGCAGTTTAGAAAATGCTCAGAACAAGCAGAATCAACCTCTTACAACTGATTCAACAGAATGGATTTTATACCAGCAGTGACTTACAGTCCTTCAATAACCTCTGTGTTATAGTGACTGTATTGCACTGTGACCTGCTGAGTGAAACTAAACAAAAATTATTCAAAGGAAAAAGTGAAGTATCATACTTCGAAACTTCATTCTGCTTCTTTCTCTTACCAGAGAGATATGACAACCACATTTAATTTTAATCCATCCTTGGTATCCTAAAATTCTGGCAAATAATGCTAAAGTGCAGTGTGGTTGTAGAAGTGATACAAAATCCCAGTCTTTGCAGTAGTGTGGGGAGCAGGGGGGGAAAAAGTGTAATCAGCCATGGAGTACTCTGTAGGCAGTGACAAACCAAGCTCTTGGGATGTCAGTAAATCACTTGGTGGCCTTGAAGTTCCCATCTGACATCATTTTGACATGTATGTCCTCTGCCTTAAGGTTTGGCTTTGGATGTCACTTGATATGTCCATTTAAGTTTTGGGGCTTTTTTTGTTTGGCTTGGCTTTTTGTTTGTTTTGAAGTAGAGGGTCTTGGGGTTTTTCAGGACCTGGGACTGACAGGACTGTATTTGCAGTTTGAAGGGTTGGGGATTGTCACCCTGGTCCAGTTTTCTAAACTCCTGCCCTGTATTACCTTACGGGTATTTGCTGCCATCTAATGTTGCTGTGATGGCATTGAAATTGCCAAAGAGCTTGGTTGGCCAAATCTGTCGATTGAGATTGCTCTAGGCTGTGTAACTAATAACTGTTCCATGTCTTATGCACTTGCCTTCTTGTCACCTGACTGACTGTAATTCATTAACATCCATCAACTCCTGCATTAGTTATGGTGCCACAGGTGACCTGATGCATGATTTTTGATGGAAAAATTACTCAGCCTGAAAACATTTGTTAGTGTTTTGTCATTTCACTAGCACCTCTGTTTAAAGTACCTTCTGGGTAGATTACACAGGCCTTTATCCTAAGTATATCTTGTGAAAATTGCTTTTTTCTGTCACTGACATTGAGCAGCATGCAGCTCAGTTTCTGTATTCTAAATAGAAATTTGCAACAGTGAATCTATGGATTGTGGCTGAGAGAAGTAATTGGAGGGTAGAAAACTGGAAAAATGACAAGGAATGGATTGCATATGGAAAAATGTACGACTTCACTTTTACTGGACATCTGGCCTTTATGGGGTCCAAACATTTCTCAGAGGCAGGGTGAGCAGAACACCTGAAGCAGAGTGGATTTGAGGCTCAGTCCATGCAAAACTGCACACCCACGTTTGCTGATGTGCTAATCAGGTATCACCCCAGTCATGCACACGCATTCGACTCCCTGCTGAAACGTTTCCTTTTTGAAAGGAAATTGGGTGACAGCAAACAAAGGCTGCAATGATTTATTTTCAGTGTCTTCCTGCTATTCATTACTGTGGTGCAGACAGGTCATGATGCACTGGCAGCATCACCTTCATGTCCCTCCTGACCCCATAAGTGTGGGGGCTTTACCACACTTAGCAGCACATTGGTGAGAGAGAGACTTTTAGAACTCAGGCTTCAGCGTAGCAAAGTGAACTCACTGAAGCTCAAGGGCATATTCCCTCTTGGGGATTAAGTCTTCTTTCTCTCTTTCTCTCCCCTCTGTACTGAGTGAATGTAAGTTTCCCTACTTCCCTTTCTTAACATATCTTCTTCCCAAGTTCGTATGTGTATACATACATACACATTTGTGCCAGACAAAATTAATGTTTATGCACAGTGGCTTATCTTTCTTGGCTGCACTAAGAGACTCTCATGCAAAATAGATGCAGTGTGGACGTAACAGGCCAGCACAGAAGATCCCTAACTCAAGACAGTTCTTACATGAAATATGTCTGCAGTTGGCACTTTTATTTTTCTGGATGAATCTTACCTTGTGTCACCTGTGGCTGCTCCCCAAAATTACAGGATGCATCTGGATAGGCCACAGCATTCCAGAAATAACTGGATGGGCTGAACAGTGACCTGCAGGTCACTGTTTTCTCTTGTCCTTAGGAAATGAGACCCTTGCTTCTCTGTCAAAAAAGTCCAAATGCTTTTGTAGTTTGTGTTGGTTCACTGTCATGTCAGGTGAGTGTGGGCACTGGGAAAAGGGAGGTGCCATGAATGGTCAAGGTGGGAGGCAGAAGACCAGAACCACAGCAGTGCAGATTTAGAGCATGGAACCAACACCTTCATCAAAAAGCTCCTCAGACTGCTTCTTTCTACAAGTGAGCTGGTTTTCTGAAGCATATGAGTATGATCTGATAATTATACTTTCTGTCACTGGGGTACAGACTGCAGGGAGAAGGCTGAGGAAGATGGCAGCTGAGGAAGTGTCATGTCTCAAACTGCCACAACTATTGCACCAGTGCATTAACCTGATCCTCTGAGATCCAGGTACTAGTGGTGTTCAGGACAGCTTAGTTTTTTAACTGTATATTCTTAAGATAATGGAAAAAAAATCGAATTTGCACTGCATCAGCTTTAGAGACTCTCAGTTCCTGACTGTCTTGGTCCTTAAGCTGGTTTGGTCAGGTTTTCAGGTAGATTTGACAAGGTTAGGTGTGCACCTTATTTCAGAACTTCAAATCATATTGAGATTTAATCGAAGTGAAATTGTTATTTCCTTAGAGCAGTGAGCAAATGATGTTAGCCCACAACAGATTGAAATAAGGGTTAATTTATAGCAGCTCCCTCTCAGTGGAGCTCAGAGATATTCTGTCTCGTGATCGCCAGCCTTATTTAGTTGCCTTAGGGACTTCAGCAAGTGGAAGAGGATGTTGGTGCTGAGGTTTTCCAGGATTTTGTTCCCGAAGAGCCGCACCTGGAGTTCCGGGATACCCCGGAGCGGTCGCGCTGTGGGGCCGCGGCCGCCAGGGGGAGCTGCGCGAGCCGGGAATTCCCGGTTCCAGCGGGTTCGTCAGCGAGGTGCGGGCCGGGAAGGGGTTCGGGGGGGTCGTGGTTTTTTGGGGGGGAGAAATCCTTTTTCTGGAGCTGAATCTGACAGTAATGGCCTTGCAGATTCTGGACAGTCCCGTGGTCCGGCCCTAAGTGTTTTAAGAGCTGATTTGCTGTGCACAAGTGGACAGACACAGACACCCCAAATAATTGAGTTGTTTGCTGGGAGTAGAGTCAGAACTTTCTTCTTTTAAGGCGAGTGCTATATCTTTATAAGCAACGAAGATCCAGTCTCTCTGACTCAAGTCCTAGCGCCCTTTTCTTTGTTGATCTGAGAGTCTTCAAAAGTGGCATCAAAAGAGAGAAGTTCTTTGGCATTGTCAGAAAATCAGGAGAAGTTGATTTATTTTTTTTCCTCTTTTTTTCCCCTCTCACGGAGAATGAATGCCTCAGTCACGCTTCAGAAGCTGGGCAGAAGCAGCTCTGTGGGGGCAGTGCAGCGTGTCTGACCTGAGGGGAAGCTGATGTAGAACACAGATACCAAGTACAGACGAAAGGATCATTTTTCCTGATGGCTGTAAACTAGGAAAGTGCAATTAAAGCAATGGGGGATTGAAATTTGCGCTCTCCATTGGCTGTTAGGACTTGCTGTCTAGAGTGGGGGATTACCATATTTAAAGATTTTTTTTTTTAGCTGTTGCACCCTTTGTTCAGCCACTTTTCTCCTTTGCGACACTCTACCTGTGTTTGGCTAGATCTATCCTTAGCTTTTTAAAGGAGTTGTAAAGCAGGTTTTATTATATACCTTAGTAGTAATCCAGGAAAAGTATCACTTTATACTTGGACATATTTAGGTAGTAATACCTCTAGTTCATCTCCATCCTTGATAATGTAACAGCTCTCTCACTGAACCTCTGAACTGCTTGGAGATCTGTCAACTCTTATGTATTATTCCCCTACTCTCCTGCTGGCAGTTCCATGTTCCCATTCCAGCTTTTGTCTGCCTGCTGCACCCCACGTATTAGACATAAATGTCTGGTTTGCTGTCCAGCTGTGCTTGTCCTGTGGCACTTTGAGCAGCAGGGTGGCTGTGTGCTGTCGCTCTGGCTGCAGGCTCAGTCTCCTTTGTAGCTTGATCATTCCAGAACAATCCTGTTTGATGATTTAAGAGACCTGGAGAGGAAGAGAAGGGGACATGTCTGTTCTGTGACCCTCTGAGCTTTATGCCCTGAGCAGTTACAGTTCGTTTGAAAAATGAAATCTCTCTCTAGGAGAGGGAGAAATTTAGAGGGGCAGGTACCAGTATCTAGAAGAGCTGCTACTGTCTGAAGGAAGAGGAAGAACTCCTGCTGCTTCTTTATGGAGAATAAAAAGTGGTTCCTGAGTGGAGCAGGTAATATAAGATCCCTGTGTGAGCTGGTTGTGATGAGAGCAGCTGGCACTGAGGGGAAACAGAAACCTCCTGGCATAAGGTAGTATTTGGAAGTCTACACATGGAGTCTGAACAGCTGTAGGGGAAACAGTGGATTTCAGGATCATCCTCTTGAGAACATTTTTTTCCTGTTTTCCTCTGGATAGGAAGTTTGGTCTCTAGGCCAGCTCAATAGGCCAAACAATTAGAATTAACCCTTTGATCAAGGGAAATAAAATGAAAATAAATTTGCCCTCACATTTTTGTAGGCTTGAAAATGAGAGAACTGTAATAGTTGCTGTGAGTTTTGGTTTAAGCAGGTGGTCTTGTAATTGTGAGACTACTGAAGGAGAGTGTGCAGTGCTGGAAAACTCATAAAGCTCTATCAAATGTAGTGGGAATGGAAACCAAGACATTAAAGAGATTATTTAAAACCTTACTAAATTAAAAATTTGTATTATATCTAGGTTCTAATTCAAACAGAGGAGTAATTTTCTCCTTCATTATGCTTTCAGAGAATTACAAAGGGAGTATCACTTTCTATTAAGTTGCGCTCAAATTTTTACAAGCCTATGTATTGAGAATTTTAGATAAAAATAATGGTTCATAAGAACACTTGAACTAGCACAAGACATTGTGGGGGCAGCAGTATAAAAGAAATGGAGTCTTTGTTGATTTTTAAAGCCATGCTTCCATTTCCTCGATGGCAAAGTAAACAACTTGGCATGTTCAAGGTCAACAAAATTTTGTCTGCAGAAGCAGACAAAGAATGCCTAACTCTTTGATCTATGTGGAATCCTTCCTATCAATGCTATTGAAGTATTGAAGTTTAATTTAAACTGACATCCCCTGCCATGCTATTTCAACACAGGAGCAAATATACAGCCTACCAAGATGACCCTGATTTGGAATGGTCTCAACTGTCTGGGCCATGACTCTTTTTGAGAATGAGATTAGTGCCAGACTGGCAGTTGGATTAAATTTTTTAAATGCTTAATGTATAAGAATTGCCCATGATCCTTAGCAAATAGAGAGTGAAACTCTCTGCTATTACCTGTTAAAATTGATTTCCCACTCAAGCAGCAGAAGCTTTTGCCAAAGCCAACACAGGCCCTTGAAACAACCCCTCAGCTGGGTCTCAGTTTTCCTGTTTGTGTGTCTCTGTTAACAGAGTGTGTACTATGGAAAGGAGACCATGCTCTCCATTAAACAGCCATCTGCTGAATAGCAGGACTGTAGAGTAGTAAAATCTATACTGGTTATTTATCTAATGAGAAAGGTACAGAAAATATCCCAGGTATGAATTTAAAATTAGTTTCCCAAAGCACACTTGGGAATGCAGAGCACTATGAGATGTTTTCCTGTGGAGGTCAATGTTTCCATTTTGTCCCTTGATGGCCAAACAATGCTGCTGCTGAAAGTCACACCATTATTTTCAGGATTCCAAAGTCTAACAAGGGAGGATTTTTCTATTACAAAGCAAACCCAAAAATCTGTAGAGAGCAAGAGTTGCTGATGCATTTTTGCAGTTTTGCAACAGAGAGAGAATGTAGCAGAGTGAAATTCTTGGCTGAGGGAACCTGAACAGCTCTCTTGAGGGACCTCTGAAACATGATTCTCTGACTAGATTGAAGCTGGACATGAGAAGTCTGGGTTCAAAGCCAAATTATGCCATGGATCCTGTTGTCATCTTGTGCAATTTCCTTGGTCTTTTAATGACTGCTGTTTCACTCCATTCTCATTTCATAACTGGGTCCACTTGTCTGTTTTGGTGTTCATACCCTACCTGCACTGTAAATCACTTGGATATGGGGGTCTCTGTATTTTAGCTTTCCAACCACCAGGCTTTGTCAAATACTTTTGAAGTAGCACAGGCAACTGCCAACAGATGAGTTCACGTGAAACCTAATTTGGTTTAGCCTGTTCCCAAGGAACTGCTTTGATACCTTATTTAAATTTTATGTTGTGTTATGTATCTAGGTTAAACATGCACCTAGGACTTCAAAGACAATATAAATAAATTTTGCAAGTCAAACAATGTTTTCTTTACAGCTGAGGAAGGAGCACAAAGAGTTTCTGTAAAGCTTGACCAGGTCACCTAAAGTTGGTGCAGCCAAAAATAGAGCCATGATCTCCTGCATTCTGACAGCAAAGCTGGTTCCTCCTTCTCTTGCTCTCTGTAATGAAAAACCATATTCAAGGTGGTGTCACATAGCTGATGTTTTCAGGCCATGGAGTTTAATGAATATCGTTGCTATTTAAGTAAAGACTCCTGTACCATTTTCTAAATAGGATGCCAGCTCTAAGCTCACACTTGCATTCCAAGAATTACTGTTGGGAATTTTTTCCCTCTACCTGTAGAGCTTAAAGCTATTCATGGAGAGTTGGCTTTTACCTTTAGATTTTACAGTTCAGACACTTCTGAACGTCACCTTCCTGCTGGGTAAGCAATCTTACAAGCTGCTTTTTGCTTTCCAAGCAGCTTCTGTGCTCCTGTTTATCAGGGATGCACCAAGTCCCAGCTTGCTCAGTGAAACACGGTGTGCAGCCGTACCTTGGCTAATTACAGTAATACAGCCTCTCATTAAAGCCAGGGAGTGACGTGTGGGGTGCAGATGTGCTGCTGTCATTCAAACAGGCAATCAGTGTCTTGCTCTGGGGATTGGCAGCAGAGCACTTGTGTTCTTGTGCAGCTTTAGACAGCAGCGTGTGGGTAACTTTGATTTTGTGCCATTCACAAAATGCTATTTAACCGAACTTGTTTCAGGCAGCTACTGCAAAATCAATTTGAACTGGCATGATGGGTACAAACTAGGGAGGAAAACTATGCAGAAAAGAATTTTAGAAGGGCAACAGATTGAGGAGGCATTCCTCTAGAGACTTTAAACATGAAAAGGGATGCACCATTATACGGGGATGTGGGAACAGCAGTTACTTGTATTTATCTACATACATAGGCATATTCACAGCAGCTGTGGTCTGGTGGGTTCTGTGGTCGCTGAACTCTGCATGTGGAGTTATTTGAGTTCTCAGTAGCCTTGTACAGCGTATGCTGAAGTCTGTAATTACTTCCTGGTAATTACTGAATGTGCCAGCAAAGGCTGGTATCAATATTGCACTCTGTGCTGTAAGCTGTCCTTTGAGTACTGGATACACATCCCAATGTTTAATAATATCTAATAGATCAGAGAGCAGATAAAGGCAGATAAAAATTGCCAGTGTATTTTTATAATCCTCTGGAACTCTTACAGCAGCTGAGCAGTATGACATTGTGCATCTTTCTTTTGTGTTCTGAGGTTGAAGTTATTAAAGTCATAAGGAAAATATTATTTTTTCCACATATCTTACACTAAAACTTTCATGGCTGCTAGTAAGAGTCTTAAGAACTCTCTAAACTGGTTTTGTTCTCACTGTATGAAATTTGAATATTTAATTCCCAAAATAGTCATGTATCTGTGGGTACTTTTATTAGATCTGATTTCCTCGGTACATTCTAGATCAGGGAACATTGTGTTTTGTCAGTAAATAGACAAAACCTGCTTTCAGGAGGAGAGAGAAAGGTGGAAATAACATGGTATCTGCTATTTCCTTTGAAGGGAAAAAGTATTTTACAGTATCTGTGATATCTACTGATTACAGTGTAGGTATACTACCACTGCTTGTAGTGTATACCTGAAAATATCTCCACAACAGTTTTCATTTAAAAGCAAAACCTCTCATTGATGGATTGACTACTTTATACAGCTTTTCTCTTTCTTGGCATTATTGCTGCAAGTTCCTTTTTGATAGTTGTTAAACAACCATAAAATTAGGGAATGGCAATGCTGTGCTCTAATACAGTGCTGTGCAGGACCTGCTGCTGCCTAAATCAGTTCTGTGCACGCTGAAAGCATAGTCCCTGCAAGAAGCAGCTGTTTAAGTATAAATAACCTGATTTTTGAAGACTCATTGTACACTGTGTCTTAAAATCATATAGTACTTCTGTGGTAGAAGGAAGATTGAGGTAAAAATCAATGGTGTTGGTGAAAAATAGGTAAATGTAATGAGATAACATATTGCATATTTTTACTGCTGGACCAGAAGGAGGGAAGAAGCTGTTCAGGATGCTCCAGGTGAGAATTAAAGCTCTCAAATATTAATTACTGTGATGGTATTGAGTAGGTTATCAGCTCAAGCCAGATGCCCTGACATGCACAGAGCAGGAGAGAGAGGATTATTGTTGAGTGTTTGATGGACACAGCAATGCAGCTGAATACTAATGTGTTCCTTTCTTTTCAAGGTATCTACACTCCAGAGCCACTCTGCAATTTCTGGTGGGCTCTTTTATCCACGGGGTTTATGTTTGTGTATCACTTCAGCATCTTGCAGATTCTGGGACTGGTAAGTAAACACAGGTTAATAAATGGGTATTTGCAAGTACATCCAAAGTAACACCACTGACTACTTTGTTCCACAGTGTCCAGATCCACATGGATAAGAACTTGCAATGCAAATTTTTGATAAGGCTACCTGTATGCAAATTGCATGTTCTAACAAGCATTTGTATCTTGTGTCTTTCAACCATTGGTAAAATATTTCATAGTTTGGTTATGTACCTGCATAAATCCATCTATTAAATGCACAATGAAATTTGGATCTGCTTTATTTCTGGAAGCTGCCCTATTTGTGTCGAGCGAAAGCGTCACCTAAACATTTTTCTGTTATTATGGTAATTTCAAAAATTACCAGTTTAGGTGTCTGAATCGGTGCAAAGCAAAAATATTGTTTAATTTATAAATTTGTTGTCACTTTCTCAGGTTACAGAAGTGAATTTGAACAACATGTTGTGCCCAGCAGTCTCAGATCCTTTTTACGGGCCCTGGTATCGAGTCTGGGCGTGTGGACATCAGACTGTCATGACCATGACCCATGGGAAGCTTGTAATCCTACTGTTTTACAGTGCTGTCCCCATCTTTAAATGTAGCATGGACTTGCTCAGACTCCCAGCTAAGAAAATAGACTGAAATTTCTCCCTGTGGAGTCGTGCAGGAAGCAGAGACACCTATACTGGAAAACCAGGAGGAGGGATGAGAGGACAACGGCTTTATACTTCTCCCCACAGTTTATTGCCTCAGAAACACCTTTGTAATCAAGTGAGGGGTTTTTTTTACCTGCTGTTTCTCACTGCCTATTGCCAATGGCAAAATTAGTGGCCTTATTTTGGGAAAGGTTTGTGTTTTATACATTTTGTATAGATTACAGTAGAATCTTGCTAAGCCACCATTTAAAGTTAGGCCAGGACCTGTCTACATTCCAGCAAAGAGAGTGGCAGTGCTACTTTGTTTTGACTAATTTTCCATTAAATGTAAGTACAGTTATATCATGGGATAGGAAATAATGCTGCATTGCAACACTCCAGAGATGTGAACGAACACATGTTGAACCGCATCACCCTGGCTTAACTCTTAGAACCTGAATGTTCCAAAACAGCCACAGGAAACAATGTTAATCTCCCAGTTGTAAGTGCAAAGGAGTGAGGTTCTACTGTACTTTCTTTAAGCTGGTTGAAAATGTTGGGGAACAATAACTCATTCAAACAATACTTTTTTTGGTTTGTTTTTTAAATCAACTACTTAATTCTTAAGCTGCTGTGGATAACTATCCATCTAGTGAAGTCCCATCATATCTTGATGCTTTGGAGATGCTTTTATTTGGGTGAATAGAAAAAAATCATGTTGAAATAATTTCAAAAGACCATGTTATGTAGAAGCCATGATAAGATATTGCATCCACTCTTCTGTCCAGACTTTGAACAAAATGTTTTTTCACTTAGCTTAGGCCGGAGAAGGAGTGGAGATACAAAATCCATTGTAAAGATCAGAGTTCTCTTTTTTTTTTTTTTTACTTAGTAGCTTTTGAAACATTCCTGCTCTGTCTACACTGCTCCTTGCTGAGTAGACTGGTTAAAGAAGGAACAAACTGAAACTGTTCTCTCCCTACAGCTCTTTTACATTCAGTGTACCGATTTTAAAATACAGGTACAAACAGGAATGTCAGATCAGTGCAGGCCTCTACTGAAAAGAACATGTTCCAGTTTACTGGTAAGAATAAATCTTCTGTCAACATGTCTTTTGGAGAACAGGATGTAGATGGGCAGAATGATAAACAGTGAAGTGTGTACCTGTTCAAATTTTGCAAGGCTAGAGGAGAAACTGTTGGGCAGAAAGATGGGAAATCCTGAGTGTGTTCTTCCAGAACTGTGAGTCTGTGTCACAGGCTGTTGGGTTTTGAGGCTGCAGGTTTTTGTTGCACAGAAGTTTGTTGCAATTTATAGACTCATTATGTTATCAAAGCTGTGACTTGTAAGATAAACCAAAACCACCATACCTCCTTCAGCTGGATCACCTGAAGGGATGTTCTGAAGTTAGGGTACAGTCATTTATACCTCAGGAGGGAAAAGTAAGAACAAGAAGTGGTTGATTTTGGGCTTTTTGTCTGTTTTCCTTAAAAAAGAAAAATTTTCATTGGCAAAGGAAGAAGTGGCTACTTCAAATATTTTTATTCTGTATGATTAAAAAAAGTCCACCTCAATCAGAAATATATTGTCCCACATTCTGATTTACAGACTAGTTTCTGGTTTTCTTCCCTGCCTTGCTCTGTGTGTTTGTATGTGTACATATATATACATATATACACATACAAGAGAATAGATACGTGTATGCTTACAATTTGAGAACATGCAGCATATACCTGAACTGTCCCTCAGGCATATAGAGCTGGTGTGAGTTACACAGACTATGTGGCTCCTCATGTTTTTAATTAGAATTCAACTCAGAAGATAAGCACCTGATTTAACACAGAGTTCACTGTCAGTCAGTGTTGGTACATGAGGAATTCCACTGTGGACTCTCCCTGCTGCCTCAGGAAAACTGGGAATATCTTCTGAAGCGGGGTCTAAAGAAAGAATGTGTTGGCATTGAAGGCCTGAATCCATCTGTGGAAGATCACTGGATGAGCTGCTGAAGGGATGGAAGTTCTTGCTGGTTGTTTCAGCAGATTCAGTCCTTTGTGATGGGCATTGCTGGGAGATGCCAATGCTGGATGTTAAAGCCTGTCCCTTATTAATATACTTCATCCCCTGTGCAGTGCTGAGCAAAATACTGATTCTTCCCAACCTGTAGCTACTGTCAACTACCAATCATGGTTTATTTATTTACTTAAGAATTCGGCAAAATGCCTTATGTTGGATTCAATTCTGTTTAGAAGGAATATTTAGTATTACAATAGAATGATTTTAGCCAAATTTTGCCAAATACTATTTAGCATTATTATTTGCTTAACTTAAAGTTTTTTGTTTTTTTAAAAAAATCTTTCCTGTTTTTTAAAGAATCTTTCCTTTTTTCCCCTCAGAATATTGTAGTTAATAGAAACATTTCTATAGGTAGCAGTTTTTTTTTTTTTTTTTTTTTTTTTTTTTTTTTTTTTTTTAAACTATAGCATTTCCTATTTATAGTCATATGCTTCAGGGCATTCCAAACAAGTATAAAGCAGCTGCTGTTTGCCACCATTGACTGCCTCTGGTCAATTAAAACTGCAGGAGCATTTAAATGAGCTCAGGTGTCTCACTCAGTGCAGGCTCTTTGCTTGGAATGCAAAATTTGTTAGCTCTTCTGGCTGACTTAAAATTCAGTAGGAGGAATGGCAGAGCTGACATGAGGGAAATCCCTGGGCAGTTTGGCTGAAGGGATTCCTGGTGCAGTTGTACCTCTTGCACCACTGGCTGTGACAGCAGAGCCACTGAGTGGTCACTGCTGCCCTCCTTCCCACCCTGGATCTGAGCTGTGACAAAGTCCACCTTGAGCCTCCTCCAGGCTGAGCCCACTCAGCTCCCACTCATCAGACTTGTGCTCCAGACCCTTCAGCAGCTCTGTTGCTTTGTTTTGGACGTGCTCCAGAGCCCCAATGTCTTTCCTGTAGTGACAGGCCCAAAAGTCACAATTATTCCCTCCCTCCCTGTGCCCCTTTTTGAAGGCTTTTAAAACTTAATATTTCATGTTTGGTGATGGTGAGCCACTACAAGGAACTGCATCCGCAATTCCTTGAGAGAGAAGGGAGAGCGAGGCTGAGGCTCCACTGAAGGGAGGGGCAGGTCAGAACAGGAGCAGAAAGGGAACAAACTTTTTGAAGAAACCATCATGGAACTTCACATCCTTTACCCTTTACTCCTCATCTATCTCTGGTATCTGTTGGGAATGTGCATCAGCCAGAGCTTGTTTCATGTGCATGCAGGATATGGGGAAGAACAGGAAAGCTTCATCTCTGTAGCAGGTATTTGTTGTTTTCCCTCACAGAGGCTGATTTTTCTTTTCCCCTAAAGGTTTCTTTTATAGGCATACTATACAGCTGTACACTATACAGATGATTTCTTCGGTTGCTTTTATGCTTATTTATGCTGGAAATGAAAGAACAAAACTCTCCTGCTGCTCCTGGGAGCCAACTGCTTTCTCTGCTGGGGTATTACGCACACAATCCATGTCAAGAGAACTTGAAGCTGTTGCCCGGTACCTGGTGCTGAGATTTTACAGAGCTGCAGTGCCGTGTACAAGTGAAGGCTTGTCCTGGTCCTCCTGGCCAAATGTGCCCCAGTCCTTTGTGGTGGCAACACTGGCAATAGGTGGGGGCAGGAGTTGGGCTGACAGCCACAACCGCTATTCCCCACTGCTGAAGCTGAGTGTAAAATCTCACCCCAAAGTGGGCTCATTTACTGTCCAAGAGCAAGTTGGGCACAATCCCAGAAAAAAATCCTTGTGCAGTGCTGCTGCCTGGCCTTCACAGAGACACTGGTATGTATTAAGGGGTCTGAACAGAGCCCTCTAATAGTACTGTAGGCACTTCAAAAGAAACAAGGAGCAAGGAAACTGCTCCTGCTGCCACCGAGTGGCTACATTTCCCTCCAAATGTACCCATAAATGGAGCATTATTAACTTTAATAAACTTGTTTACTGATGGGTTTGTTTATGCAGCCCTCCAAAGCACAGAAGGGAGCCAGTATCATTTCTGCACCCACTGCCTTGTGCCACAGCTTTAGCTGTCCAGGACCCCTGCAGTGCTATTTTTCCAAGGACTCAGACACTGAACAGTGTCTGAGCTTTATCTATTCATTTATTCATTTAGCTTCTTGCTATTTAACCACCAAAGGAGAATTTGCATCTTGTTTCTTTTGAAGGGTGAAAATGAACCATGCACGTATAAACTGATGAAAAGCCAGTCTATGAACACACACCTGGAGCTGGTTTTGGTTCAGCTTCTTACAGTTCAAAAATGCTGCTTATAGGCAAAGCCTACGTGTGCTTGAGCAGCTGCTGCCTTGCTGAACTTGGGAGACAGGAAAAGTCAGTCCATTTGCAAATCTTGAGGTGAGAGAGTACCTAATTGTAATTTCTCTTCCTGGCCACAATCAGGGTTTTGATATTTGTGTATATTTGATATCATTTTGTAAAGCCCAATTGTATTTTCCTTTCAGAAATGGTATTTGCAACTGTTAAATGACTGTACTTTTATGTCCTAAGTCTTGCATCTAAACCAGAAGCACTTGTTTTTCTATGCATCCATAGCTAATGGAAAATAGAGTTGTGCTGTTTTCTTGTGTTGCAATTGTTTCACTCGAGGTGGATTCTTAGGAATTAAATTAGTCCTAATTGTTAACAAAGCTCTGAAAAGGCCAAAAGCCAGGAAGAGGGCCCAGTCAGCCCAGGTAGGAGGTGCAAGGTTTCTATAGGTAGACAGGTCAGCTTTGATGCTTTCAGTTTTATGGTGACAAGACTCATAAGGAATCTGTTGATTTTGTGATCTCGTACTCTAAGTGATATTGCTGTAAATCTGTCTTGCAGCTGTTGGTGTAACTTAGTCAAAGCCAAGCTGTTTTATAAATAATTTTATTTTTCTTCAGGGTCAATTTTGTACTTTTTTAAATTATTTCTGCATTTACTGAGTCATTATCCCAATGCTGCAGAGAACGCAGCAGGCAGACCAGTGAGCACTCCCTGCTCTCCCCATCCACGCTGTGCCAGGGAGCTGGAGCTGGGCTGGACCACAAAGGGGTCTTTGGAAACTTGCAGATCTGGTTACCCCACCCTCTAGTTCCAGCACAGCATTGTCCAGGCACATAATTGTTTGGCAAGGGCAAGGGTGGACGTGGATGGGCTCAACTGCCACATATGCTGTTAGTTCTGAATAATTTGTAAGAGTGTTATGAATTTTGTAAACTTTTTAATGTGCTAAACCTTGGTTATGAGGTAACTTTACAAATACGGGGTAATTTGTGTACTTGTTTTTGTATTTTGGTCTGATGATGGGATTTTTTTTTGTTGTTGTGCCCTAAGTACAGATCATTGGGCAAATAGTTGTTAAAACTTTGAATTAAAACAAATAAATGCATTTTAATGGATACTGGACAGTTTTGTTATCATTCTAATTTTGCCAGGCCTGGAGTTTGTCTTGCTTAAGACTTTTTATAATTAGGTAAGAAAACCAAAATTGCCTTTACACTTCAGTTTGTAACATTAACAGTCAAGAGTCACAGAGGCACTAAATATTAGCCAATTATAACTCAGGACAAAATACAGAGGTTTCTGTCTGAAACAGTCTGTACTGCCTGATGTCATCCATTTGCACACAGCAGTTCCTGGGAGAACAATGGTTACTGGGATTTCTGAAAGTCTTAAGCAGTTCAGTATGACCTGTGCCTGCTACCTGCCAGTCAGCAACAGCCTGAGTTTACTGGCAGAGCTCACTGTGGGACATAAGTCCTTTAATCACTGTTTAAATATTTCCTGTCCTTGTCTTTCAGGTAAAGAGCTCAGGAAAGAGTGTTACAGTACCATGAGGCTTCCTCCACTGTTCCTACCCCAGATTTGGCAGTCTTATAGTTCCCATTTCATGGCACTTTAGCAGAAGGTGGGAGAACACGTACAGAAGTTTTCAGCTCAAAACTTTGTTCAGAAAGCTGCTGCAGTACTGTACTTGGACAGCCCCAGACCAGAGGTGATGGCAAAGTAGTTTTAATGCACTTCAGAAATGCTTCTGGCTGTAATTGATATTATTGCAATCTAGATAAATGTATTCTTGTCACCCAGTGTAGCTCAGACAAGCAGGTTATTTCCTTGTGTGAGGTTCCTGGCAAATACTGTTCCTGGAAAAAGAACACACTGGATATGCCCACCTGTATAATTATATATGCATCTTAGAGGTTTTAATTTTTCAGGCAGCTGGGGAACAAAATCAATTATCCAGCTTAATTTCTCTGGAACAGTATAAACCCTGATGTAACAGCTTTAAGTAGAAATACAGTGTGGTGCTGTACAGCAGCCTGAGATGAACCAAGAAAGCAATTTCCCTTTTCAGGCACTGCTAATTATTCTCAACAGCTCTCTATAACTAACTGGAAATCAGCCTTTCATTGTTTAGTACCACCAAATACGTAAGAATAAGCGAGTTTCCATCTCTGAACCAGCCTCAATATTACTCTGTTAGTTTGATTTTTTTAATAGCATGATAACAGCAGAGTTGGCTAAAGTACTGAGAAGAGTTGGAAACTCTGGGTAGGAAGTGATAACTAGCTCTACATTTCAATGACCTGAGGGTTTTAGGAAGGTTTTATGCAGTTCAGACTAATGATACCAAA